CAAGTTTCACATGCCTCGCTGCAGCGAAATACCTCCTGTGGGAATGTTCTGGGCACAGCTCCATCTTGTTAATTCCACAGGTTGTTGATGTCAGCATATTACAAGCAGTGTTTCCACCTTTGGGCCTTTCTATGGAGCTATTACCCACAGATCATTGCAGAACTTTCCCATAAATCGCAGGACTTTCCCAGAAGTCTCTCTGAAATTCTAGGCTAATCCTAGTCATACCCCAGTGGTTATCAATTCTATAATGAATTGGAGAATAATGCTAGAAAAAGTTGAAGGCACAAGGAAAAGAAGAAGACCCAAGATAAAATTGATTACTCCCATGATGGAAGCCACAGTTCGCAAGACTTCAGCAAGGCTGTCAATGATAGGGCATTTTGGAGGTCAATAATTCATAGCGTTGCCATAAGTGACTTGACATCATATAAAACACACACTGACCCCTGCCACACGGCAGGGAAAACACTGGCCAAAGTGCAGCTTTTAAAAGCTGCACCAAAAAAGAGACGCTGCAGCGGGATCCCACGATCCCCTGATCCGCGGTGCTGTTGCTCCCCGGCACGATCAGATGCCGGGGAGGAAGAGACGATTGGGAGGGGGAGGCTGCTGAACTGCGCATGCTCGAGCATGCGCAGTACGGCCGGAGGCCAGGGATGCACCGGCAGAAAGACGTGCCACTGATCCCACGGCCGGCACTGATGCGGCCTTTTGGAAAGAACCACCTAGGTAGGTGGTTCTTTTTTGCTGCAGGGTTTGGCCGGGAGGGGCGGATTGGGAACGGGCTGGGAACAGGCACAGCACGATTCCCAGATGTTGCTGTGGGATCGCGCCCGTTTGCTGCAGCCCGATCCGTCCCTCTCCCGGCCCAAAACCTCTCGTGTGAACAGGGCCACTTTAGTCTTAGAAGTTATCCCCTGTGCATGGTGTTCTATATCACTAAGTGTAAAGTGATGCAAAAGGGAGCAAAAATATCTGAACTCCATGGACAGTTTCATAATTAGCTGCTGACTATAGGAAAGGGAATCTAATGGTCTTGTATGTATTTGTTTTATGATTTTCCAAATGAATTACCCAGGTCATCTCACAACAGGATGGAAACATGTCATAAAATAAGCTGATCAGACAGCATAGGAAATTTCATATCTTTAAAAAGTCAATCACAGAGTAACAAAAATAATAGCATAAGTTAATAAAGTTTGAGTCCAGTGGCACCTTTATGACCAACAAAGTTTTATACAAGGTGTCACGGCTCAGGTGGGGCGTCACCTGACGCTGCCACCACTCTGGTTCCAGGCTCCTCTGAGAAGGCCCAGAGCACCTTCCCAGGCCTTTAGACCTCCCTTTTGGCCGAATAAGAGGCATGAGGACCAGGCAGAGTACAACAAGGAAAAGGTTTATTTTATAGGAGGTCAAACAACAAGGTGCATAATAACAGTAAGTGGGTGAAAAGAAAAGAAATCAAATGCCCTTACGCATCTAAATATACTGTCCCTTGCTCACTATCTGTAGTGGCCTTAGACTACTCACCCTTCCCTCAGGATAGTAGTAATAGTAGTAATATACCTTATTGTCATTGTACACAGTACAACGAAATTAAGATGCAATCATTTCGGTGATCTGCAACAATATTCATGTACACTCACACAACCATTCACAACTATCTCATAACTCCCTTAAGGTTCACATAGCAACTTTCTTCCCTGCAGCAGCCTTCCTTCTGGCTCTGCCCTCTGGGAAGAAGAACAGCTTTTCCTGCTGCTCCAGATCTTTTATAACAAGCCCTCCTCATTTCCTATTGGTCAATTTTTGGCTCCAAAACCTCTCAGGGGCTTCTGGGAGTTGTAGGCCCAGCCTCACCTACTGCTAGCCAGGCTCCCTGGGCCTAGTAGGCCTCTGGTGGCACAGCCCAGATCACGACACAAGGTATAAGCTTCTGGGTGCATGAACACTTCTTCGGATTGTATCTCAAGAAGTGTGCATGCACACGAAAGCTTATACCTTGAATAAAACTTTGTTGGTCTTAAAGGTTCCACTGGACTCAAACTTTGTTCTGTTGCTTCAGATCAACACGGCTACCCACCTGAATCTATCAGTATAAATGAATGACAGGTATAACTCTTACAATGTCCTAGTTTCTTCTAACATAGAAGTGGAGTCACTGCCAAATAGTTCTTATTTTTTAAAAAATGCTGTGGCTGCAATCCTATGAACACTTTCCTAGATTAAGCTCCATTGAAGAAACTGGGATTTATTTCTGTTTAGGGTTGCTTCCTATGAGTTTATTGGGGCCTATTTGACCCTGTAAGGTGTTTTGGGGGTGCAGAACAGGTTATAATTTAATTTTAAGGGACACTTAAGAAAGCCCACAGTTTCCCTTGCGAGTTTGGAGTTGGGATACTGTGAATAGGACAGTCCTATGGGCTTGGTCTGAAATGGAATGTCTGAAGGGAATGTCTGAGGGGAATGTCTGAGGGGAACCAGAATCTATGACTCAAAAATTTAATTGTTCTTAATGACTGTAGGTTTTTTTTTCTCAGTGAGCACCAGTTATTAGAGGGTGGTCCTCTGATGTCTTTGTTAAAGCACCCTTTAGTAGTTTAAAGGAGTTTATTCCCCCCCCCCAGTTGACTGGAAAGAGTCTATGCATTTGCATTTTTCAATCAGTTTCGTGCTGCTGTGACACCAGTCCAGTCTGCATCTAGCATTTGCTCTGCTGTTATACCAAACCCACACTGGAACGGAAATTTCGGTGTGGCAATTGCAGGCTATTTAACAGAGCTGAGGCTCTGGAGCCTGGTCCTGTAGTTTTGTTGAAATCACTGAATAAACCTGAGCTGATCACTGCCACTCGTCTAGAAGTCAGTATTTAATAGTGGCACAGACTCTAGTAATCCAGGGAGGTCTCCCACCCAAGTACTAGCCAGGGCTTGGCTTTGGAGATCTTATGAGATCAGGCTAGTTTGAGCGTACACTCACAGGTCGAATCTGCATTTGCATTTTTAAATCAGTTTCGTGCTGCTGTGGCGCTGTCTTTCTCTATGCTTGTTTGAAAGTTGTTTGGAGAACATTCATTTAAAATGGCGCAGAGGCACAATGACAGTGGAGCCGCCGTGAGAGGGCAATAAACATATGCAGACATGCACAAGTATGCTAGCACTGTTGAGGTGCGAAACCGAAAGCAAATGTAGACAGCTTTTTTGAAGATGGAGCCAGAAGGCTTGGACACCGGTGGGAAAGACAAATGCAGATGTGATGTGTGTGTATCTGGGGGGGGGGGCAGGAGATGTAGATAGATGGATTCACACATATGAAAAGACTGAGAGAAGCAGACTTTGGCCCCGGTCACACTGGGGGAAATAGGCGCAGCCAAAGTGCGGCTTTTTTGAGCCACACCAAAAGAGAAGCGCGGCGGCAGGATCAGACAGATCCCCCCAGCCGCCGCGCAGTTCCACCTCGGCATGACCAGATGCCAGGGGGAAGCCACGGACTGCAGAGCAAGGCGAGCCCGCTGCGCATGCGCGTGCATGCGCGTGCATGCGCAGTTCGGCAGGACCTCGCATGCTGCGGGAGAGACGGGCGCACCGGCAATCACACGTCCGCCCCTGCAGCGGATTTTTCGTTACGTACTAGTGTTTCATAGGTTTTTTTCTGATCCACATCTTCGGCTGGAAGAGACGGATAGGGGACGGGTGTGCGCCGCTTCCCAGATGTTGCGGTGTGATCGCACCCGCTTGATGCGCCCCCGATCCGTCCCTCTTGCGGATCAAAGCCTCCCGTGTGACCGAGGCCTTTGTAGACCTAATTTGACACAGATGACCTGCTGCCCAGTAGGAGTACTTCTTTGCCTCCATCTTTGTACTGCTGGTATATTTGTAAACAGGGGTCATTTCCTAGAAAAAGAGGTGCAGAAGCTCATTAGCATAACTCATTAGCATAAGTTATTTCCATATGCCACACCCCCTGACATCACCGGAAGTGTGTCAGAAGGCAACACCCACCGCTCAGGCTGCACTGGACTGTTTTGGATTGCTAGCTGTATCCTCACAGAGGAGGGAGAGCTTGTACCTGAATAAAACTTGGTCTTAAAAGGTGCCCCTGGACTTTTTTGGACCGGGGGCCCGGGGGGGGGGCTCTGCAATTTACCTGGCTGCTTCTTGCTCTGACTGAGGGCTGCTGGGAGCAGGGGGTTGGGGCTTGTTGCATGTGGCCGCCCTCTGGGCTCTTTACTGCCGGACCTCTGCTCCTGTGTGCTCCTGCAGGAAATGACCCGTTTGTAAATAAAGTAAATACTACAAAAAAACCCACCTTTAGTCTCCAGTGGCCTTTTCTCCAAAAACAATCACCCTGTTTACTGCCCCAGAAGAAGGGAGAGGGATATATTATAAGCAGTAGCAGGTCATGAAGTGGGCCACAGTGAGGAATCCTGGACTCAGCACTGAGCTCCATTGAAACAACACACACGAAACTTCCTTATACTGAGTCAGGCTCTTCCTCTGTCACAGTCAGTCTTGTCAGAACCACAGTGGCTCTCCAGGGTCTCAGGCTGAGGTCTTTCACATCACCTCCTACCTGATCCTTTTAACTGGAGATGCTGGAGATTGAACCTGGGACCTACTGCGTGCCGAGCAGAGGCTCTGCCAGTGAACCACATCCCCCCTCCCAAAGGGGGATGTGGGTCTGAGGGTGTCAGAAGGTGGTGACAGAAGCATACAGGTAAGCAGTTACAGAATGGATAGCAGAACCTGGCACGGACACACATTCCTATCCACTTTCAGTAAGGCCCAGTGGTGGGAACAGTCATCTGAAAGCACCCTTCTACATGAACCGCTGGTGATTAGGCATTCACTTGCTGAATATATTGTACTGGTTCTGCCTGGAGGCAGATAGAAGAAAAAGATTCTGGAGGGAAGGTGTCTTTTGCAGTCGTTATTGGCACTTCATAGCAAAAAGCTTTGATAAAACCCGGCCTGGCCTTTTCTGCTTCTCTCTTGCAGCTGAAGGCCTCATGTGCAAGGTGTGCAAGTACAGATTGGGCAGCTTTTGCTTCAGCTCTCATGACCCCTGCCGAGCCGATGAGGGGCAATACTGTGAGACCACTAAAGTGTACGCAGGTAAGGCTTCAAAAGAAATTTGCAGGTAGGATCCAACACTGAGATTGCTGAATTAGAATTCATTCATAATTTCAAAACAATGTGCACTTCCAGCCAGGGCTTAACACCTTGGAGACCTACCTACTTTAACACCTTGGAATCCTGCCTCAGCATAGGTGCTAATGGCTCACCTATCTCTCCCCCTTCAATGGTTAGTTTGTTCCACCATCTGTTTTCATCCTGTATTAACTCTGGTACTTATTTTGCTCTGCTGCTGTTGGTTGGAAGTATCTCACACTCATTCTGGGGCTGTGGTCACACACACTAAAGATTATCCACTTTCAGTGCACTTTCCAACTGGATTTTACTGTGTGAACTGGCAAAATCCAGTTGCAAAGTGCATTGAAAGTGGATTGAGATCGATTTGTCCTGGTGGGAAATAACCCAACTCCAATCTAGATACTCGGTGGATATAAGAATAGGTTTTGAAGATGGTAAATCTCAACTAGATAAAATGTGGGCATCAAGTAGTGATAAGATGATCCAGAAACTTTATAAAATACTATTAAATGAACGGTCACCCAAAGACACTCCCATTAAGGTAATGGAAACATGGGCAAAAAACATAGGACATAACATAGCGGCAGAAAACTGGATAAAAACCTGGAAGTCAATAAAATACACAAGAAGTACGAATTATAAGGAAAACATTTACAAAGTCTACCACAGATGGTACTGGTCTCCAGACAGGTTAGCTAAATGTAACTTGTCCCTTTCTAAGAACTGTTGGAAATGTTGTAATAATGTAGGTACTTTTTCACATGTGGTGGCGGTGTACAAAGATACAAGTTTATTGGAAGGTGGTACAAAAAATAATTTTAGGGATAACTAATGTTAAAATTGACTTGATCCCAGAAGTTGTATTATTAAATATGTTGCCAGAAAGTTATAGGTCAAAGGACAAACATATGATAATATATATATACTTACTTCTGCAAGAATGTTGTTAGCCAGGTATTGGAAACAAGAGTATATTCCAAAGAAAGAAGAGATTATATCTAAATTGCTTGATTTGGCAGAGATGGACAAGTTAAGTCTTATCCTTCAAGGGAAGGATGAAAAAGTTTTTTGGCAAAGATGGATTGGATTAGTTCAAATAGATAATAGGAGACTCTGAGTTAGCTAGGAAGATGTATGGATTGATGTATATTGTATTATGTGGAAAATGAAAATAAAGATGTGAAGGAAGTGGATTGAAAGTGGATTTTTTAATGTGTGTGA